ATTGACTGGTTGCTTGCTGATTGGCTCTGCGGTACTTCAGATAGGCCGATCCTTGCCGTTTCAAATTAGCCGTGTTTTAACTTGGGGTGCTGACTAAAACAAATGGACGATGGTAATTGGGTAAGAGTGGCCCGAGTTGGTTCTCATTTCTGTGGAATGAAAAGCTGCAGTGATGATCACTCAATGGCTACTCAAATTTGTCTCACCATATAACCGTGTCTGCTTGTGAAATGCCTGTGTTACCTTGGGTTTCCCCTTGTTTCATGGAAACCCCCCACACAGACCTTCCCAGGTTGAACAAGATGGATAATCGAGAATTTTAACTGCATGTCCATTAGAGAACTAGAGTGAAATGGAAATCAGTAATTAGTGTAAAACTCATAAAGTTCGCATCGGATAGAAGGCTTACTGAGACGACTGGTGCAGGTGGAAAATTACAAGAAGGTAAGCATTGACTAAGTTTCGGCCGAAGGGGAAGATGATGCTATCAAACAAAAGCAAAAACGGTAATAGGATAAGTTCAAAGGTGGATGGCTCAGTCGCGTATGTGATAAACAAACCTATTGGAACCGTTTTCTGAAAATTACGTCCTTGAACAACCTAGCTGTTGGTTGTAGTTCGTTCCCACCATGTATGGTCCTAGACTGGTCAGCTTAGTGATTACAAGTGATTAGCCATTTTTTGTACCTTCTCAATTCTACCTCATTCCACTTCTGTACGGTAACACGATGAGCACCCACTGTTATCGGAACCACACGCCACATGGCAGAAGGGTGTTTCATAGAGCTGAATAGTTTGAGCCATTTAAGTCGCTTCTCATACATTTGTGGTGTGTGAGCACGGAGTCGTCAAGATTCGCTTTTATACTGATTGCCCATGCGGTCCGAGAAGCTTGGTGGATCTGAAGACCGAAGAACTGGAGGGTGCGAAAAATGCCGGAAACTTCCGCGGGCTGTTTCACTTGATTCTTTCGATTGGGCCTTGGAGACTCTTGTCAGTGAAACTACCAGATTTTGTACCATCGAAGCGTCTTTTGTGTCGGGTGGCATCAACAGATTTTTAACGAGGTAATTAGAAAACGGGCGACATTTCGTGCGTCAAGTACTTTAGTCGTAGGGAACATCCAGCATCATTCAGTGTGGTGACTCGGCCATGTCCTATGGATGCCCAAACATTCTTTCTGGGAGCAGAGGGTTGTTCTCTGTGCCTCCTTCGAAATAACGCAAGCCGCGGGGTGAACAACGTATGACTTAGTTGAAGTGTGAGAAGGAGATCACGGAGAGTCCGTTGTTGATGGGGTCCACCTTCCAGGATGGAGTCGCTGTGACCATTCCTGCGCTTGGCCGGAAGAAACGGCAGCTGATCGATGTCAGTGGCGTTTGTGCTGTCAGTTCCCCCATGCAGATTGTCTGCTTGAGCACTTGGAAGTGCAGACATCAGAACGATTGTGATAGGCCAGCACCAGGTCCCCTCCCCACCCTTTTTCCCTTCTTTTCCCTCCGAGGCTTTATATATGATAAGATAAACTTTGGTTTTATGGCAGTGGCAGTGTCATTACTGATGTTTCTGTCTCTGATGATAAGGATACTTTTATACCAAACAAAAGTGGCCGGAATTTGAGAAACTGGAAGGCTTGTTGGCACCTCTAACTAAAGACTTGTTAATGGCTGATTTTGTATAGAGGTGTATGTTTGGTTTCTAAATGCGATGGTTTATCTGATCATCAGTTCTCAGCGCCTTCATTAGCAGATCAGAGTACGTGCAATTCACTTCGGTAGATTATGGAAATTTTGTGGAGTTAAACACTGACTGACAGGCAGGGATGGGGCTAAGGTGAGACTCACACGAAGTTGGCGAATAGCGAGTTCCGCGATAGAATACGAGCGCAAACTCTGCTTATCCAGTTCGGAAAGTGAACTTCTCTGGCGATCTGTCGACTGGGTGGAGACTGCAGTGGGTTTTGAGCGAGTTTTCATCAACTTCATATGTCAAACAAGAAATCTTGAATTTCGGTCCACCTGACAACGAACCCCTTAAAAGTTTCCATCAACATTGAACGGACCACGTGAATATGCGTCGATATGCAACTGATGTGTAGACAAGTTTGGTCAGGTAGGTTGCTGGTAGAAAGTACAAACAGTCAACAGTAGCAAACAGTTCCAAGAGTGGCAAGAATGGTGTAGTTTTTTTAGTTTATTTGCCGTATTGTGCGTATATTGGAGTTTATCTACGGAATCTCCTTTCAAAGAGGAAGCGTGCCGCTCTGAATGGTCCCCAGTATGTTCAAATCGCAGGGGTTTCGGTTATGAGCTATACAGGTCGACTTTTGACGCAGAGGTTTCATTCCACAACGTCTGCTCAAAAGTGGCCTTTGTGCTGGCAAAAGCTTCCAAATTGGTGAATAAATAAAAATAATTGTCCAGTTGAACCAGCCCTCCGGAGACTAGCTTCCATGCCACCCGAATGAGGGCTGAAACACTGTCGAGTTCTCCGAGCCTAGACGAGAGCAATCGAAGTGCCGGGGTAGGGTTCGAACCACAGGTATTCCGGTCAGCAAGTTTGCACCTTAACCAGTAAGCACAACCTCTCAACCGCTCCTGGTTACAAGCTTTCGGCAATGCAGTATTCCTGGCCCAATACGACTTCAAAAATCATTCGAATTTGGCCAAATTAGATAGAATTGAGGTTACGTTAAAAGAATTGGCTTGAAAGATTGATCACCACTGTTATACGACCGCATTAGAACAGCAGTCAGTTAATCACCGTTATTATTTTCAGGGCTCTGCGGATGTGCGCAAAATGCAGTCTGTATCCCGCACCGACGAGCGGAATGTTTCTGTAAACCTGGGTACTACGGTGACGGACGTCATACCTGTCGAGCGATCACACCTTTGACGGACGGCTGCGCTAATTTGTGTGATAACGAAGCCATTTGTGTGGAGCGACTGGAGCCAATATTCCACAAAAAGAAACGGGTAAGTGAGTCGCGCAATAACTCCAAACATTATTTTTCCACTTCCTGGCTTATTTTCTTTTTCTTACTGGCTGCAGTATTCTGGCCCAATACGACTTCAAAAATCATTCGAATTTGGCCAAATTAGATAGAATTGAGGTTACGTTAAAAGAATTGGCTTGAAAGATTGATCACCACTGTTATACGACCGCATTAGAACAGCAGTCAGTTAATCACCGTTATTATTTTCAGGGCTCTGCGGATGTGCGCAAAATGCAGTCTGTATCCCGCACCGACGAGCGGAATGTTTCTGTAAACCTGGGTACTATGGTGACGGACGTCATACCTGTCGAGCGATCACACCTTTGACGGACGGCTGCGCTAATTTGTGTGATAACGAAGCCATTTGTGTGGAGCGACTGGAGCCAATATTCCACAAAAAGAAACGGGTAAGTGAGTCGCGCAATAACTCCAAACATTATTTTTCCACTTCCTGGCTTATTTTCTTTTTCTTACTGGCATGTCGTTTCTCACACCTTCGAATCGGCAATTCTCGTACAGCACTTGAAGAGCACTTTGTCGGACAAGATTGCAAAAAATAATTGGAGTTCATTATGATTAGCAATGCGTAGATTGCTGACTGTCGGAGAGTTGTTCAACAAGTAGTATATAAGTAGTAGTATAAGTAGTACAAGTAGTATATTACATCTGCCGCATTTGTTGGGTTTTTACAATACTTCACAGTATCCGCGTTGGAGAATTTCGTGAATGATGATTTTTCTTGCCAGTCTGTTAGCCCAACAGCTGGGATTAGGTTAACTCACAGCCCTGTCGGTAACATAGCGTTCACCTTTACGACAGGTACTCCTTTCGTTTGGGCTCCATCAGGTTTCTCTTTTGGTTCTTATAGAATGAGTTCAGGCAGTTTTGGTGGTGACGGTGAAAAGCGATCGATCCCTAGGTTACTAAGAAAGTTTACTTCCTGTGAAGCGATAAATAAGCGTTTTTTCAATGATACTTTACTGGGTATTGGAAAATCACCGGGTTACACCATCCGCCACAAGACACACTCATCTTTCCAACCGCGTACCCTACAATGGATGGTACAAAACTGTTTTTTATTCTACCAGGATTCATCAAAACGGCAGATTCCATACGTTAACAGGAACTAAAGTTTTTAAACAGGAGGCAAAGATATCTCACCGATTTATACCCTTGCGATTTCCAGGCCTAGCAAATAAGCAAATAAGACAAGATCTAAAGCCCAACTAGTACCCCAAATCTTGTCGAGCTATGAGGGTGTCCTGTCACTAAGTTGGGGACTGTTGTGGACACAACCCTGAGACTCAAATGGCAGAAGATGTGTTTGAAACCTGAGTTTGACATCTGAACTTCATTCAGCACATCCACACGGTGAGTATCTTGCCAACTCTGCGGATGGAATACATCTTCCGTTTCCTGAGAAATCACGGTTGTCATTTGGTTCACCTGATGCCGAAAAGCTCGTAGTTTATCTGTTTCGCGAACCAAGAGACCAGTGATTGTCTAACATCATTGGTTAGCTTTTCGCCGAGTTGACTAACTCCGTACACTGAAACAACCTAGACGCTTCGTTTCCTGAAGGATTGCTCTCATATGGAAATGAGCATAGTTCAGCGTAAACCGACTAATACTGTAGTTTTGTGTCCCAGGTGGAATCTGTATTTGTGTGGTAGGAGAACTGTTTTCTCAGCTTTACACGTACAATCCATCGAAAATGATGATTCAAAAGAATACCTGTAACCATGCCCTGCATGATCTTGACTCGTTGATCATTGCGGCACTAGACTTGTCACTCTGCACACCAATTTGGTTTTGACAGAGGACTCAACTGAATCCAGCTGAATCTGTCTTTCTGTGATAGTCCGCTTCAACTGAATGTGCCACCGACCATCATAAAACAAGAGATTTGGCTGGATTCATTTGAGTCTGCTGTCAAAACCCAATTCGTGTGCAAATGGGAGTAGTTGATGATATTTGAGTTCCAGCAGAGCATAAAGTTGACGGAACTGTGCCTACTTGATGTGTACTACGAAGGGCGAAACCTCCTAGAGTTTTCAACAAACTACTGAGTATTGTCTTGCATCTAGACTTGTCCATCTTTCTTTGCGTTCTAGCAGTCTGTCACAAATGACCACTCTTTACTTCTCACATACTGAACATACCTACAGTAGTTTGTTTATCCACAGACCAAAGGAAACTTTCGGGAATTTCCCTCCCAAAAACACATGTTGACTTGCCACTCCACATTTTGTCCGCTGTAGGTGACTAGTCATTACTGTGTCTGTCGCGAGGGCTATCTGGGTGATGGATTCACATGTCATCCCAGCTGTACGGATCGTGACTGTCGACCATTTAGTCGGTGTGTTCATAATGTCATCCAAAGTAAGTTGATGGTATTCCACTTCCTAGTTTGAAATCTTTTCAGTTTTCCTCTCTCATGGATTTGTTTGTTGTACTGTGCAACCTTCTCAAGAAAGGCGACACTTTTTAACGCAGGAACTGTCCATCCCAGTAAATTGTACAGTCCTATACTGTCTTGGTAGCTGGAGTGCAAACTGGTTGTCGATGGAAACATCACGTGAGCTGTCCTTGGTCCGTCGGAAATATTTGCACCGTTGTTGAGTGGATATATGCAGGCAGTAGTGAGCTAGGAGCAAACGGATGATCGAGACTCATGAGTAAGAAACTGTATAATGGATGTTGAGAGCAGCAGATTCGAAACAATGGCATTTCAGTCGACTGAAGGGGCCTGAAAAATCGTTCAAAGGACGCGAAACTCTCGAGGCCTGCATTCTGCACCGGTTGGTACCGGTGCCAGGCCTTCGTATCGTCCTAATATTCGTCCTCAGACTTTTGTCTGAACAACAAATATGTCCGATTTCTCTCTCATATCTGATCCAACTTTGCAGCAGTAGACGAGGCGTGAACTTGACATCCCTTCCCTGTGTGGCCTTCCATCATTGGGATATACAGGAGGCGGGTTTGGGGAGGGAACAAGAGCTTGGATGCACGAGCACTTCTAAGAGCGCGATTGGACCATGTCTGACAGTGCTGTATTTACGCACCAATTTATCAGCTCCCACCTCCACTGCGCAGCTACCTAACCCACCTCCCTAAAAATCATTGGTGAACGAAACTGTGGCAGCTCTACAACCACTGACAGTGACACGAGGAGAACTTGATAAATGAACAGAAATTTTCCTAATACTTCTATACAGCAACCTCCTAGAAACACAACTGAAATAAGTTACATTCGAGAGTCGTAATTCGAGTGACCATACGGCCTAACTCGTGTAAGTGATACAAGAAGTCATATGGTTATAATATGAAAAGAATCCCCAAGTCGGTACATCATTAGATGGCGGAGTGTTTTTTGACATTTCCGCAATACTATAGTCGGACCAATGTTTTCCAGAAGGATTTGTACGCTTTTTTCATATCGCCGCTTATTTTTAAGATGGGAAGGGGGCGGTAACCGCATTGATGTTTCTAGTTTAATAAACTATACTGAACGATCGATCGATAAATTCCTCGCTTATTTACTTTCCAGAAACAACCAAATGTGAATGTCTCGAGGGCACGATAGAGTCCGTTGGTCGGTGTAACTTGGACATATACAGGAGTGTCCAGCACGAGAAAGATTTGCCACAATTCCTGGTACATCATGACCATTGTTTGTCGAAAGCCACTCAATTAGCTTTGCGGGAGCTCACACCGTCTCGATACTTCTACGTGTTCGTGCCGGATGAGGTAAGTTGACGGGGTTTGGTTTGGTCAAGTCAATGCTGGTTGACCCAAGGTTAGCAGATAGTACAGTGTCTATCTCGCAGTTTGTCCATGTTAACGGAAGGACGCGGTCGTTGGAATGGTCATGAACCTACCACCTCTCGATTACCAAACGAGTGCTTCACTAAGTATGCCATCAGGGACTTTGCCTCGTGTCGAACATGCGCACCTGGGTCTCGAATTGATCCGCCTCCCCTGTCAAGTGGATACGGTCGGTAGTGGCCACTAGCGAGCTTTTACAATAGGCCAGACGTTGATTTTGTCCGGATAAGAGAATTTCGCATTGGCATAGAAAAGACGGTTAGACAATCTTGGGTGTGAAACCAGGCAACCTAAAACGAATGTTTTTTCATTTACATTAGGCCTGCAAGGCGCACAATTTGTTGATCATTTGGAACATAAGTTTCTCCAATCTGCTTTTGAAATCTTCAGTCTGTGTAGTAACGGTATTTTCCTCAGCTTAGTTCTCGGTCTGAGCCTCCCAAGCTAGCGTTCACGTCAAAACAACCACCAAAGGTGCATAAGGTCTATTAATGCCCAAAACGAAGTCAAGAACAGTTGTACAGCGCTTCGTATATATAGCGTAAGCGGTTACAACCTTCTGGAATTTCTGACGCGTTCTGGATGCGCCATTGGCAACCGACATTAGGTCAATACTGGGTCATGATTGGCTGTTGGGTCCAGATTGTTGACTAATCAGATCTCGTCTTGATGCCGGACCGGCAAGCGTCCCGAATTCTGGGCCAAACTCGAGCGGGCCAGGCTTCTCGGCCGTAGCAGCGCCTAAAGACGTGCGGTATAGTGGGATCCGCGTGGATTCCTGCCTAACAGTCTGTAACAGAATAACCGGCCAATACCTGAAGCTACACTTACTAATCGCTCACGCTCTCAGTGATTGAAGGGTTCTGACTCACTCTTCTGAACTTGGACAGCTTCAACAGATACCCACTTGTAAACGACCAATAATCTATTGTAAAGTGGTCCTTCAACTTCTCGCCAAGGTTACCCTGCAGTATCTCCCACATATGCCCAGTACCAACCCTGTGTTTTCCGTAGGGAGCTGTTGACCAGCAGCGCCATCATAGTTGATGAGTACAGTATATCAAAACTAATTAATTAGTGCACATGCTACCACTTATTTGGAGTCAGGGTTCCGCCAACTCCCTCAGACTAAGAGCTGTTGTACCGTCAGCTGGACTATTGCTACCGACATTTGTTTTTAGCTTTCCACAATACAATGGAACCTTCATCACCAAAAGGTAACGTGACATGTTAACAGATGTTCTTTGGTCACCCCAACGGGTTACGCAAGATGGCCCTGCTCGACCATGTTGCTCTGTTTGGAGCTCAAACACAGTACCTATGAAAGCAAAACCATTTATTGAAGGAACCTTCTCACAGGGCTGCTGAAAACTCTTCGACAGCCCACGACCTTCTTGGGGCTCATCAAGTAGGCGCAGTCCCCGAGTTTCCATCAACCTTATGTTCTACTCGAACTAAAATTGGACTGTTTTCGAGACCCAAGAAGGGCAAAACCGATCGTGGGCTGTCGAAGAGTTTTCAGCAACCTTGGGAGTAGCTTCCTTCATGAAAATACACTGCGATATCCCAAATATCATGCCGTCACTGGTCAGCAGCTCTTTTTCATATGTTGGCCAACCACTCAAACTGCCGGTTACAAGATCATACAATCACTTAACCCGTTTGCAGAGACGCATCGCCTCATTGCTTACGAGTTACCTTTCACTGTCTTCCACACAACTTACAGATGCTCCGGACGTGTCACAACATCACCACTCATATTGTGGTACGCAAGACAGCATTGACGGAAAGTGAACTTAATAGCGCAACTGCGGAATCCCCAGTCTTACTGGTAACAGAAAACAATACGGTTATTGAAATCTATCCTGAGGTAAGTCATTGATGGAGCAGAGTGAGGGACCTATGCCAACTAGACGAACCAGCAATCGAGCGAGCGTTTCCCTCAGGTTCGATCGGAGTTTATTTGGTATCTTCCTCGAACGAACGCGTACACCACGTCAGCACTGATTACTAGATATCTTAAAAAATTACAAGTCTGAAAGGTCTCTTCGAGCACCTACCCCAGTCAGGCCATTTCTGGATTCTTCCAATCATTGTAGACGCGAGACCTGAACTGTTGAACCTAATCACACAAGGTAGTCACAGTATTTCTCAGATTAGGCTCTTTTATCGAGAGTGGGGTGATTGATATCCCTTCTTGCACAGAGGGAGTCACGTTCATGAAAGTAAGACTTCATGATCATATCATATGACAATTCATTCTTCCTACCTTCATTTGGTTGTTCAAGACTTCACTCCATAGTGAAGTAGTTCACAGATACTTGGATCCATGATTGTGATACTAGGCCTTTGTAGAATGCAAAGTTCACACAACGGCCAAGAGCGTGATCTGTATGACCTCGGTTCTGGAAGCTCTTGTTGTTCAGGTATCAACGCAGAGCTGGAGTGAGGGTGCCAGATTGTCGGCTGTCCACACCCACTTTACACAGAAAGACAGTGTCAGACAATAATGAGCCTTTGCACTACTAAAATCTCGAACACGCTCAAAGTTCAAGGCGACATCATCTTAGGATGGGCAGTTCCTATTGGTTGGGGGATCCGAGTGACTGTCTGATTTGCTGTCAATGCGATCTACCTGAAACGAGAACTGTTGATAATTGATTTCAAACTAGGCTGATTCGTTTCGCTACTTCTGGGTAGTACAGTTGAGACCATCGATTCTTTCGTCCCGAAAACTCGGTCGATTTCAGAGGTAAAATGACGAAAGTGTGCTGAGTATTTTAAAGATAGTCGCTATCACTATGCTATGGTAGGCACCTTCAGTTTACGGTCCAGAGGTTAACAAACTGCACTAATTTCTCCCACATTTGTTTTCACTGTGTGAACATTAGATGGTTTCATTCATAAGTACACAGAGCTCACGTGACAAATCATATTACCGGCCTAGTTTTTGTGCACTGTGATTGGTTATCTCCTCTTCCGCGAAGTGGGCTTTGACACACAGCAGGAAGATAGGGAACGGTCCCATTATTTGGCCAACAGTGTGATACTTTATACTAGGATTACAAGTAACCTCATCACGCTATTTGTGCTAAATTAGTCAAGCACACCTTTCAAATTTTTTCGCTCATCCGTGAGGTCTGTTCTGAATTTCATGCCATCGAATAACTGGGCTCAGGTCAAGGAAGATATACCCAAATGGCAAAAGTTTCATTCAAAGCAACTTCAATGTACCGAAACTGATAGAGGAAAAATTTGATTTGTTGGAAGAAATCGAACAGCCTTCTGTCTCTCCTGATTTGCCGAGATCCGTGTTTATACATCGTAACATGCATCAACAAACTACTCTTTTTTGAAAAAGTTTGGATGTATCTTCCACCGCTTTAGCGGTCCAGAGCACACTGAAACCTGTGCGCTCTGCCAGTGAACGAAACCCCGTTCATTCGCTTAGTCACACCTTAATTCAGTGATTGCAATCTGAGAAAGTTCTACAGAGATTTCGCTGATTCAAAGCAAAGGTAGAAACAACACTATGTCTGAGTATGGTCGTAACGATATGTTCGTGTATGTGTTAGCACGTAGGGTGCGAGTAAATTCCGCAAGTCATCGGCGAACGAAACTGTGTGAGCTATAACGAACCTACAGCAATCACGCGGTTTTTACAGCTGAAAATGATGACCATGAAGATGATGTCGACCCAGAGAAACTTTCACAATATGATCGTTGATGACACCAGTCGAAAGCGGTCGATTTGGAGGGTGTATGCTGTGTACTGCGTTGGAACCTGGACACTGTCCACGAATTTTGAAAGTTTGCTAGAAATTTGACGCTTCCCATTCGGTTTTGGTGCTGAAACAGTTTGGTTGACGACGATGTGTCGTATATGCTCCAATTATCGCAATTTGGACGATGAAGGCCTATTGCATGGAAAGTGAACCCCGTGGAGGAGTAGCGGCTGTGGATTGAGATGCTGTGGGTGGATTGATGGCATGATTAGGCCCGTGAAGGGTTAAGAGAATGGCAGAATGACGCGCAAGTGCAAGATGTTAGCTTCCTGGTCGATTATAGTGTAGCAACAGAATGGCGCGCAAGTGCAAGATATTAGCTTCCTGGTCGATTATAGTGTAGCAATTACTAGCAACATCCACATTCTCGATTAGCGCCATCTCTTCCTTCCGCGCAATGTTCAGTGTTATGGAATTTAGACTGTTGTTAGTTTAGCGGAATCCAAATCAGTGGATACACCTAACGAGCACAAGACAAACAAACGTTTTGAAATGGCTTCTCAAGTTTCCAAACGTTGACTCGACTTTCAACTAAATTGATGAGACACCCATAAAAAGTATCGTCATTTTGGGGGGTCTGAACCAGGATCACGAAATGGGTATTCATATCATTTTGTCGAGGGATAAACATTTCGGGCATCTATCGCGAATCAGTGGTTCTGTGAGGATCATCTGGCAAGATCCAACTGGCTAATATGTGTTCCATTGTCCAACAGTATGAGGAACTTCCAGCATTCATACAAGCAGCAAGAAAATAACTTATCCTACGTGTCAAACTGATTAGGAGCTGATCGACTGGACGTGACAGAATAGGCCACGTGACTATTAGTTTGTGTCGTTCGTAACCACAGCGTGTGTGGTGCACAATCAATTAATCAATGGATCCGAATTTACCGGAGATATCAGAGAGGAATGAATGGATTCAGAGTGCCCACTTGATACCGAGATTTTCAGACAACTTTAATGGTCCCGTTGTCTCAGAGTTAATGCTAGCTCCATCTGGAAGGCGTCATTCTGAGATGATGAGATGCCGGAACCCGCTATCATTTCAGTCTCCATTGTAGTTCTCGAAATCAATTGTTCAGTAGTACCGTCAGTGCGACATCAGTATAAACCGTAGACATACGAGCAGTTCACATGCAGTTCCCACTCACTAATGACTCATTTCGATCCAGTACTCGATCAAGGGAACCGTTTATTTTATATTATCCCTTGCATTTGTGTTACAGAACGGCACATGGGTCATCGATGGTAATTTGGCACAAACACCTCCCGTCCGATTCGTAAATGGAGAAATGTACGCCATCTCCGCTCCTCTAAAACTTACTCCAGTAAGTTGCCAATTTGTGAAGCTTGAAACACTGAAACACCTAAACTGTTTCAGCTTATAAGGTGGTTCGTTTAAATCTTTGCACAGTTTTCCTGTCTGAAGACGTGGAATTGAGTACACGTTGTGTACATTTGTACCAAAATGTGCCCCGATTCCGTGGTTCAAAACTTCCACCACACAACTAGATATCAACCGCACCTGGTGGGAACATGAGGTGTTACACATGATTCTTTTAGAAAATCAAGCTTTAGAAATGAAATAAACGGCGTGATTACAAAGTTTTTGGGACAGAGTTGGTGGTCAGAGTGACGCCGCTGGTCGAACATTCACCGAACACGAAATATCTTTATTTTACCGACAAATGGACCATCGTGTTGTGGGTCAACTCACCTCTTGGTACCCACTCGTGCGGCATTCGAATGTTTAAAGGCATTGATACTTGCAAAAGAACGGAACTGCCTTTCTTGGACAGAAACGAGTGATGAATACACATAACGGACATGATATGGTCAGTCTGAGACTCGATGCTTCAGGCGGAGAATGTGACCAGAACTAGCCACGGAAAACTCAGATCTGTTTGAAAAAGAAGGGTAGAGATTTAGGCGAGCATGATTTACTCTGCTGCAAAGAACTCAGCCTGTTGTATTTTCAACTCGAAGGCAACTCCACAATTTCGGATTCCCACACGTACACACTAATCAGTATATTTATAGTATCGATTGATGTTCCTGGTATTTTGGCCCTCAATCACTGATAAACTCTCCCCTTTAAATATTATGCTTTTTCACGTGACTAGGTCTGCTTTGGGTTCGCCAAGACTATGTTAGACAGTTCATCTTGCCGGATTCGAGAAGTTTTCAAAACCAGCCGACTCGTGTTCAATTGGTTCTCCTCAGTAGCAAGCTGTTCGATCACAGTAACCTCAAAAAAGTCAGAATTCATGCATGTCTTTTCAACTGCCATGGATACTACTTAAGAAAACCTTATTTTTCCTCCGCGCAGACTGGTCTCGAGCCCAAGTTTGACTAAGTAGCTTAGAAAATTTGTGAAAACATGCAATCTGGTTGGCTGCAATCCACGTGCAGCCAAAATCAGCTGAGCTGGTCTACCGAGGCGAGTGTTGTTTTTCGTATCCGCTTTAGTATAGCGAAATCTGCGATATGGACTACACGTCTGCCCATCCGAAGTCGGTGTTCACTAGTATCGCCTCATCAGTGTTTAGCCGAGTAGATCGAACAGCGGCCAAGAGTGAAATAAAGAACGAACTTTAGGGTAGTGTGTATCCAGCTGGTTTGATTAGGCATCATTTGCGAAAGGTGTCGGTACCGGTGGCGAAACTCAACGGAGAAGGGATTGGCCTGCTGTTATTCCATATAAACCAGGGACATCCGAGGTCATTCGAAGAATTCTAAACACGGCTAACCTAAGAGTAGCTATCCAGAGGGGGAACACTGCGCTCTGCACTGATGCACTTGAGGGATCACCTCACGGCAAACAGAACCAAGGACTATGCCTACAAAACTAAGTGGAACAATTGCACCGAGGTCTATATAGGAGAGACGGCCAGGGAACTATACGTCAGAATTGGAGAACATAGTAGAAAAATAAACAGGCCGCCGAGAAACGCAGATGAATATCAAGCGTTACTGAAAGACTTGGCAATTGCAGAACAGGAGACTAAATAGACTTAGAAAATGTTGAGGTTTTGAGGCGAGGACCATGGTCTACGCCACTGAAAGTGATGGTCGAGGCGGCCGAAATCGCCACTCATCCCAGTGTAAATAGAATAGAAGGCACAGAACCGACATGCGTGTGGAAAACGGTTTTAGATCAGTCGAGATGACACGTGTTGGCGTGTGATTATCAGAAGGGGTCACCAACAGAATTAGTTTCACTCTGCTGTACACCTAGTCTGATCCTCTCACCCCACAATAACTAAATCGCCGTTGCACTTACAAGCCCACATAGATCAAAGAATTCTGCCATTGGCACCCAAGGTGAATCATCAGTTGAAGCACCTTGAACCGGAAGATTAAGGAAGCCAACCTGATCTAAAATAATTTGATTTCCCCCAACCTATCAACCGTAAAGTTAGGGCAAGCACACTTACCGGCAAGACCTCTTAACTAACATTCATCAATAATCTAGTGTGCTAATTTGAAGACGTCGTACTGATTAGTTCTCTGTCTGCCTTAAAACCTGTCCAGCATGGTGACCTGCTTACTTGGCCTGATGAAGCGAAACGTTACCTGTCGACCAAGCCCGTCTGAGACTAATTTAACTAGTGCTGATAAGATCCTCCTTCCAGGATGGTATCCCCCTGAGCTTGGCTAGAGACATTGCAAGAAATGGCGGCTGATTGACGTCAGTGACGTTCGCGCCATCATTTTCTTTCCAAATTTTCTGACTAGGCGCTTTAATGTTGAAGCATTTCAGAATGCTTGCCACATGCCTGCATCAGTTCTTTCTCCAATCTACCCGTTTCTCTTCCTTCCTGTTTAGGTCTTTGAGTATGGTTAAATAAACTTTGTCGCTGTGTGGAAGTGAATCACTAGTGGCAACACCGATCTTGCTACCTCTGCTGATACTAATGATAAAGAAATCTATTCCTGCGCACACAATGCACGTTTACTCCGGCTAAATAAACCTGACTGAAACAGACGAGACGCTTTTCCCACTAGAGTTTTATTATTAGGTATCAAGTCACGCCATAATTTTTTATTCACTTGTGCCTTCTCTCCTATGTTCTAGAGAAACTGCTATTTTAATATTTTTGCAAGATAAAATTCTCAGTAAGTACTTGTTCTTTGTAACTGCCGTGAATGCAAAACACCCACACGCATTGTTATCTCTCCATTCGAAGTACGTCCGTAGACATTCTGGATACTACGCCGCTGTGGTAATCGTCTCGTTGTTGTTGGTTGTTGGCCTGGCCCTTCTTATCTACAAGCTCTACCCACATCGACACAGCCTGAGAATGCCTTTTATAACGGTAAGTTTTTTTGTTACCAAGTCTGGGGTTTTCCCATATCCTCGCAAGTGGGCTCCGCTTCCGTTCACTCGTAAGACCACTTATTTCTAGCTACTCATGAGTAGCCGTTTGTCGCCGTTTTATCGACCCACTGTCCATATGCCACGGGCAACCTCGGAGGCAAGCCAGATTTTGCTATTTCGGCCCCAGCTTGATGGGCTTGCAGAAGATATTCCGTGGACAAGAAAACTCTTCCGAACTGACGTAAAAATCGGATGGTGTTAGTGCAGTCATCCGGTGAGAGGTTGTGAATGGCCCGTTGATTGTTGAATGGGGTCAAAGTTGGGGGAGTAGCCTACTTCAAACTAGAAAGATCGATATCGTTGTGATTTCCCACAACGCTTTGCTGTTTTCTTCAACTCTCCGCGTCTACAAAAACTTAGACTTCTGTTGCACAAGAAGCCTGTTTATGGATAGAAATGCAGTTTCAATTACAGGAGCCTCCATCCCAACATAGAGTCATTATGGTCACATCTGCGAGAGGCCTCTTTCGGTGGCAATGTTAGCGATCTATATCATTCCTCCAGATCATAGAAAACTGCGCAAAGTTGTGCGAAATTTCAAACACACTTGAAACCCGAGGAAAACTTTCTTTCCTGTCATCGCTGCTAATAGAAAACCATTTGGAACCATTATTCAGCCTGTAGAAAAACTAAAATCAATATACCAAAATATAAAATATAACAAAGAATGACAATGGGCTGGACAGAACCATAGAATAAATCCTCAGATTTCTTGTACGCTGTATATAATGATATAATTCATACATCTGTTTGGATCCTGTAATCCGAACTCCACTACCTGATTTCTCAAAAATGGTTTACTTTGATGGGGCTCGGTGCATGCGGTTAGAAACCGAACTTCTGTGTAACATGCAATAATACGATCAAGTAACAAAAGAGTTCAAAGGTGAGCGTTAATCAAACGAACCGGGCTGATAGACTGAGTGTTCCATCGTGTGTGTGTGTGTGCGTGTGTGTGTGTGTAAATACATGCCGTAGTGTGTGGGTACCCGCGAATGTGTAAAGTAAACGGAAAGAGAGTTACGGCACATTTAAGCCAACAGTAGCAAAGGGGAATGGAAGTGCCGCGGTCACTTTCGTGTAAACCGTGTTTCGATCAGGAACTGCATAAACTAAGTAGAAAGAAGTAACTTGTTTACACTTTCACCGGAGTCATGGTTGGCCCCCGTCTGTCACCACCCTGTTCGACTCACCGGGTCACCTATGTGCATCCGAATATCATCATCAGTGTGCGCGGTGTAATTCCTTTACTTACACGAGGCTACGACTAGCTACTTTTTGGCTTGGGCCCAAAATAACCCCTTCAAATTACTGGACCAACAAAATTTCTTTCATCCTCTTTTAAAACACAGTCTCACGGACGAGTTCTACCCAGACGGACTTTCTGGAGACAACAGGGTGAGAGTGTGCTAGTGGAGGAGCCTGACTGCGACGACTAAATGGCCATGTTCTCCTGTTCATGACAGCCATGGTTGGAATATTTTTCCCTCTTCATTTCACGCGTTACATCGTGTGTCTGAATTTTACTCTACACTATGATTATTGATCGTCCCCTCCCCTCACGAACCTATGTATGCACCATTGCTACCTTTTTTGTTACCGTTCACATGATGTTCTCAAGGTTTGTATGTCTAAATTCGAAATGATGAATCAGCCCAACTATAGGCACCAGTGAGACAAACCAACCGCTACTGACAAATTTGCGTACTACTTACTACTTGGATATATTTCTCTTCTATCGGTCTTTTCAAGTATGAAATATCCAGAACTTTGTGTTACATCAACTCTATGGGTCTTGGATGGGTGACTTTGTAAAGCACTTCGCAAGTAGTTACTACCCTTCAGCTGAAAGCTGCCAGAAATATGCCAGCGTATGTTCGCAATTGATTGGTCACGTGCATTCAGTGAAATTTCTTACTGATGTTCACTCTACAAAATCGATCATCATAATCGAATCACAGTTTCATCGAGTTCACTTCAGGTACAATAATTCCATACCAAGAAGAGTAATATGGACAACCTTCTCATATTTTGGATTGGGAAGTCTCAAGTTTTCCTATTTTGAAAACGGGCTCAAAGTACAATTACCATATAATCCCCGGTTTTCATTGCAACGCACGCTGTACATTTATTTGTCGTCTGGGAAGCCTAGATCTCTCTCGCGTGCGACAAATCATTGGTTCGTCCAACTCTAGAGGCTAAATTTTAGAATCGCATCATTGAAATTCTCAGCCAGTGACAATAGGTCTTGTCAGTGCCTTGGTTAAGTACAATACAACGTATGACCTGATTGTTGATCGTCGGGATGTATGACAAGGCAGACGTATTCTCATTTGCCTCAGTTCGGATGCGTTTAGTTGGGGTGGCCGAATTGGGACAGTGGAAATATACATGGCCGTCTCAACCGGCGATGTTATCCGGGAATGATTGCTGCAAGTGATACACGTTTGGGGCTAGGACAACTTGGGGAATTCCCCCCCCCCCCCCTGTCTTTATGAAGTGGCTTTGCTCCATTCAGCCGAACGGTCAAATATCATAATCCGTGAGGACCTGTAACCATTTGTAATTTGCCACCCAATAGATCGAAGGATCCATGTTTCTCGCACCTTCCAAGTCTCAGCTGAGTTCAGGCGATTGAAGTGTTGTGTTGAAGTTCCCCAGTTTTACTCAATCGAATCACTTTGAGCTTCTCTCTAAGTGACAGACCACGTCTTCATTACGCACCATGACCACGAATGCGTAGCAGGATATGGACGGGGAACTGAAATAATGTGTACACGACTGATGGTCACAGAGTTGGCCACGCTTCTTTCAGTACACGAACTACACTCAGTGGGTACGAAAAGTTCTTTACACCAAATGTACTGGGTCTCTCCCATATCAAACATGCGGTCAACCGGTATCCTGAGAGGAAAACGCGCCCGACTATACACTTAACAATATCCGAACCACAAGTACACACTCAACCCGTTTGCACAAACCCTACCAAGAGTGGGAGGGATTATAAACTCTCCAGTGAACAATCTCTCTTTTGAAGCACTGTGCATGATCAGGTATTGGTGGACCAAGTTGCATAAAGGAATGTGCAAACTTCCGTAAGAGGAAGACTCTACAAATCTTCCGTCATCTTCGGTGGAGTTCATCTTCCGAAAAGCGTAATACAACTCGTGCTGAACTGCTGCTTGAGTCACGAGTAGCTTGGATTACTCCTCAATAAAAGTGTTCTCAAAATACGAACTCCAAATTGACACCCGGTTTGATAAGCAAAAGCAGTAAATTCGAAAGGGAATCTGAGAGATCTTTGATATAAAAATGTGAATTTGCAGGGGCATTGCATTTTGAGCGGGATCTAACGAGAGGGTGTCATTTTGAATGGAATGAGGGGCTACAGTGTGCATCAGGCCATCCGATATGTACCCTGAACGAACAGAAAGACGAAAAGGTTCGATCTCCAGTTGATTCAGCGACACATCATGCACTAACCGTAGATTAACGATACGTCACTATAGCCTTCAAAAAAGATCCGTATGCACACAAAACGACTGTTTATTTTGTCCAAGAAGGTCGTTCTTCCCTTGGAAATGCACCTACATCTGACTGTCAGGCACTCTCTTTTCCATAAGGGACGATATCAGTGTCACTTCCGTGTTTCGACTATAAGCATGGTCTGCAAACCTCTGAATCAGGTGAATTTGCTGGAAGTTCGAGTGAGCAATCTGAGATTTTCACTTGGTATTGAGTAGAATAGCTCATCAAGGGTGGCTGGATAAACTTTAGAGATTAGTCACCAAGATTTCGCTTTGCCGGAGAATGTTTTCAGAGCTTAGTTTTTATCATTGCCTGAGTAGATTGTAAAAATCTGAATAAGTTACAGTGCTCTAACATGAAGTTAACCTCCTGCTACTATCATAATAGTGTTACTTTCTGTGGCACAGTGAGAACTCCATATTGTAGAAAGATCACTCACTACTCTAACCTAAACGGCAACCAAAGTTTGCACATTCGCATTCCCCCTCTACAAAGACCATCAATACCAGAATCCCGATTGGGTAGCTGTTTCTTCCCATTTTTCGCATTTAGCAAACTTATCCCTGACCTGCGCTTGTGTGTACCGATATCTTGTACGGAAAACAATTTGGGAAAATCGCTGAGATACACACACTCAACTCATCCAGGGGATTGGGACTGTGTGAAACCGATGGTCTTATTCAGAGTTGGAGTGTGCGCGTTCAATCAAGCACTGTACAAAACAAGATGTCCAGAGCTCGGGAATCCGAGTGGCTAGACTAGTGGGTTGCCGTTTTGACGACCCGAACGGAACCCCAACTTGGTGTCTTCAGACGGATTGCCGGGTTCCAGTCTGCTAATCAATGCATATGTTGTTTCTTAAAGGGTGGTGTAAAGAGGATTCTCCACCCTTCAAAAACCCTTAGTCATTTTTTACAGCCGGTCGTCTGAAGTCAGTTGTGGGAGCTGTTGAGTGGTTAAATAGCGATGACTCGTGTCTAAGGGGTAAACGTAATTTCTCACACATACTATACCCGAGTCAGGTGAACTCTGTTCATCGGCTCCCATGCAGATGAAAGCACCCATAACATTGTGTGCGGCTGAGCAGACAAACACTGAATATGTAGTCAACAATTGCAAGTGGTAAGCTTGCTGGCTTCCCACCTCATCCGTTTTACCGGCCCAGCCCTGGTTTACTGTATACTTCACTAGGGTTGTGTATTCAAGTGCTTTTGAAAACCAAATACCTATAGGTTCTAATCTATAGGTTCAACCTTGGATCCTACTTTCAGTGTCCATAATTGTGCCTCTGGTGTGCAGGGTTATGTTGCCTGGTACTCAGCCTGAGCAACTGTTTTCGTTTCTCTTGTAGGATCACCTGTTTGTGTCCGTCTCTCACTTGGTAATTCAATCTCAGCGAGTCATCGACGATCAGGTTCCTACTAATCTCGCATCAGCTTATTTCCACCAGAAATCTAAGGGAAATGTTAATCTATCCGAATGAGCCGTCTCATAACACCCCGAGTTCCCAATCTTTCCGTCCAGGAGGGTCTTTCCTTTCTGATGGACAACGTATCCAAAACTTAGTTTAGCAATGAACGGACAAATTCCGGCCCCAATCAAACAGTTGAGAAAAACAAACTCAGAATGTCCAATGAGGCCTGCAATTGATCAGTTGAATCATATCAATTTTGAACAAAACTGAGTCACGTTGCTTGCCGATTCAGCATTTGGGCTGGCAAACTTTTGTGCAACACGTCAGATGTGGTGCGTCACGTCCAACACAAACGTGGAGACAAACCCAGAGCACACGCACAGACACCGACCCACAATTCCTAACCTCAAAAAAACTAAAAGGTCAACTTGCCCATTCAGTGTTTTCGTCACCTCAGGGGGTGTCGATTGGCCGAACAAGTGGCGGCGCAAGAACGGACGAATCAGCTGAGCCTGATCGAACAGGCGACCAGACCATCGCTCACTGGACTACTGTCGACCTTGAGGCACGATGCTGGGCGCGTGAACACTAATCGCTTATGTGGATCGATGTGGACAGCTGTTTAGTGGAGTGCAGTGGATCGAGCGGTGCTAGACTGTTGGATACAAATTTCAATCAATCGGTAGGCTATTAGACTGTCAATTACGTTTACTGAGCCCTAGGCCGCTGCACTGAAGTGAAGAGATGTCGTTACACTTCCTGGTGAATGGTCGGCTTCCGGATGCTGTCCAGACAGGGTTAACTACATCAGTCTCACCTGACGGAATTGCTTGTTTATCTACAGAACTGAATAGCTTACAGATTCAGGACTCTGGGATTCTGAGTGGTCCAAGCTCTGGATTGAGCATAACAAACAATAGTCCAACCGGTCACTCGAGTGACCCACGATCCGATGTATTAGCTCCTGTGGCCGTTTCAGATGCTTCCTGCGAGAAACTCAATCAATTGTCTTGGTGGCCTGCAAACAAACATATCAATCCTCCTCCGAATAAACTTATTGTTGGGGTCCCTCCAAGCAGCGCGTCCTACAGTTTGCAACCGGTCCCGCCAGTGATTCGACCGATGCTCCCCAGTGCCGATTTCACGATTCCGTTTTCGATACCGTCACCTTCTCGTGAGGAGATGGTTGGGTGGTCCCCTGTCAATCACTTTTTTCAGTATGCTCCGCAGTCTCCGTATACCTGGTTGGATGGAGCGGTTCGGTTCCCGTATGTTGCTACTGCCAACATGACCGTCCCACCAGCGTTGCCGTTTGTATCTCAACCCATGTATTTCGTTCCACTCATGAACCAGGTGCCCTTGAATCAACCCATTGTTCCGATTCCACCACCACCACCACCGCCACTTGTTCAGAGTTGGATTAGTGGCTTTCCAAACAGTATGACCCCACCAGAGGAACATTCCGTGACCATTCCTGCCTGTCCTCCACGGACTAGCCTACACCTTGGAACCCCAGGGTTGGCCACCCCAACATCTTTCGCAAATACCTCTTCGGCTAGTAGACGGCTTGCTACTAACGGAGAACCAAACTACGGTCGAAGATCCGGTGTGGACCAGCTGCATTCGCGTTCAGAAGTGAACAAAGGGAAGACGAACACTGGTTCGTTGAACTCCAAATCCACAGGCAAGAAGAAGCTGGGCTTCCACAATAACATTCTGTATAAGACAGAATTATGTCACGATTTTCTAGTGAGCCAGGCATGTCCCCGTGGACTTGCTTGTCAGTATGCGCATGGCGAAACGGAGCTTCGTGATCCTCGAAACCATCCTCTCTACAAAACGACAGTTTGTCAAGACTTTCGTCTGACTGGAACTTGTGTTCGCGGGGCCAAGTGTCTTCATCTTCACCCACCAGAGACTATCACAAAAAGGCCGCAGCGACCCAATAGCCCTTGCTTGGCCCGCTCAACACCAAAGTCAGGGACAGCTGCCAGTGCGTGAGTCACATATGATTTTCACTGACGATATGTAACCGCCTTGAAAACACTTGTTCTATAGGTCACTTCCATTGATGCTTATTCCTTTTTGACTGCTTGCTCACAGTAGAGAGTGATCATCAGCTTACTTCCTGATATTTTTTCATTGTGTCTTGTGATCGCATTGCTTAGATTGTATTCATGACCTAACGTCTATTGTACTCTGATGTCGTTTTGACCGCATGACAAGATAACTTGTTCGCTCAGGGAGTTTGGTTATTCATCTCGTGGAAAAAGGAGTATCAGGACGTGCAAAGTCCTACATTATTACAACTGGAAGGTCCTATAAGCACAACGTTTACCAAAATAGTCCATTTTAGAGAGCACCAGAGGACGCAAAAGTGGCGGGAATGGATTTCTGGAACATTTTTCTAGAGCGTAATTCCAACCAAAAAGGGTCCCCAAAACCGCATGCTGACGCCACCGAACAACGATGGTTGTACGCGCCTGTTGTATATGCATCAGGCGTGCCTTTTTTGTTCGTTCACCTGTTTATCCATGCGCGGAGTCGATCACCGTTATCCGATGTGTGCTGCTTTCATTCCGATGCAAATCACATTTGGTTGGCAAACCGAACAACACCTCATATGAGCGGCAATAAGACAGATCTAGCGAGTAGACACTTCGAAGACTATTCCGCTATTCCTTTTGTCCGACCACAACCCCCCCCCCCGTCAAATTGTGCTCAGCTGTTCCGCATTTAAGCAAGACACATATAATATACAGGTTATGGTACGGATCTCGAGGTGATTAAGTGAACTTGCAACCCTGATGAGATTTGCATGCCTGTCGTGGCCACGATTTCCTACCGCAGCCAATCATATGATTTGAGAAAAGAGAAAAGAACTGGTTAAAAGTGGTATCATACGGTTAGTTAGGTAGGCATCGAGGGTAGCTGTCATGGTAGTGTGTGCTGGAGTGTGATTAGACGTTCGTCTACACAGTGTATGGCCTGGTAATAAAAAAATATGAAAACATTCACCAATAAACATAGTCTGGTCGAAAACCGCTACCTCCCCGGGACTGGTGACACTGACCCAATCGCGTGGTCAAGTGCTCGTGCATCAAAGCTCTCTCCTTCACTGCGTAGCTACCCAGTTCCCGTACTAAGTGAATATGCCGTCGCCTCGACCGTTTCACTGTATCTCCCACTCTCCGGTAACCGAAACTGTAGCAGCCGGAACTAATGTATCCGTGGTACATGGTTTATAGACGCTAAACTGAATAAACGAAAGTGAGATTTCAAAGACTTCAGCTGAGAAACACAGACTACATCCTTGAGCAGGCAGCTCTGGTTGCGATGAATCCTAGTGACAAAGCGGTATTTGCAGCATTTCAACTTCTTTTTTTCTGAATACTTCCAACGGTGGTCTTGGGGTATGCAAAGCTTATCACGACGTGTGGTGGATGGTGATGCGTACGGCAAATAAGTAGTAGGTTGCCCCGTAAACTTTTGTAAGCCACAGAGAATGGTTGGAGAGCTTCGAGCTGGCAACTCGCGTCCCAGTTTGAAGGATTAGCTTTTTGGTTGTTCCGAAGTTCTTCGGTATTGCATAAGCGATGTGTTCTGAACTTGTACAGAGTTACGAGGACGGATCAGCTGCATTCTCAATCGCTCTTCAACAAGTTGGTTTTTAGCTGTTCGAGAACAATTCGGGCCTTCTAGCACAGGTATCCAGGAGGAAAGACGATAGTCAAGAGAATAAGAGAATAATATATTGTATGGAATTTCCAAAGCGGCAAGATCTCCCTGACAATCCACTGTAGAGCATTTTCAACATCACTGTAGAGGTCGTCTGAGGACGTTGTGCTACAAAACAACTTGATGTTATCTGCAAAAGGAAAGGAAGGAGAAAATGCTATCCATAAAAAATCATTTCCGAACGGGGGAAAGAGATTGGGTCCCCATATCGAATCTTGTGGAACACCTCCGAAAGTACGACTTGCCTGTGGGTGCTCTCTGTTGGCTTACACGTCAACACACTGCCCAACGCGACAGCCGAAGTGTATAATGAAAACCATAGCAAGCAAGACCATCAATCAGGATGCGGTAGTTCATCTTATCAAAGGCTTTTGAGAAATACAGTTAAATAGCTGTACCTTTCGTAGAATCGGCCGTTGAAGTCCAGTTGTCCAATGCGACTAATAACAGGCTTTTGTGGAAGATCTATGAGGCCGGAACTCATGCTGCTCACAGGCTAGAACCTGGGTTTCTTCGAAGAAAGCCCTAACTTGGTCTGCAGTCGATGCCTTTGGAAATTAGCGGTATTAGCGTTACTGATCCACAGTTTCCTGTCTCTAATCGCCGTTTAACTTTACGTATTGGACTCACAACGTGAAACTTCCATTGAGCAGGAACAGTCCCGTTCGCGAGTGAATCCTGAGTCACCCCATTTGGAAGCTTAGAAGTGATCTAGACCTGGAGAGATATTTTTAAACCATAATCGTATGAGACGTATTACTCAATGTGTTGCTGCGGACAGGCATGTCGGACGCTGTATTTCTGACTGGTGAGCAGAAGACACTTGCACATTGGTCTTATATTGCATCGGCTGGCTGTTTCATGTTTGAGGATGTGCGATTCAAAATTCGCACCCGCTTTGCTTTGAGTAGTTTATTAGCGTATGAGTGAAAGTATATCGGGTTCGGGGGACGTACAGATGCTACTGGACAGGTTCATCTTCAAGCAGAATCCTACCAAAATGTGTTTTTTCTCACAAGTGTGCATCTAAACCAGGATTCACGTTCAGGAGCCCCGATGAATTAGGCTCGAATACAGGTGCGAAGAGCTAACTATTTTTTGTACGACCTCGGATGAACGAGATCTTGGTTCCGTACTAAGTGTGGCAGCTAGGTTTGGTGTCACTGACCAGTTTGAGAAATGCGCCCAAACTGAGTCTACGCATATTGTCCACTCGTTCGTCAGCACTGGACATTCTAACGTTTTCAACATCACCACCACCTGATACAAAGCGAAACTTTGGAACATCCATATTTACCAGTTGTTTTCGTTCGTTGAACTCAGTCAAAGGTTTTTTTGTCTCTCGTCTTGTGAGAACTCGTGTGTCATTATTCTGCGTGGAGTGGTCATGTTTGATTGCCTAATCACGGTCACAAACCCATTGCAGAATATCCAGTTTAACAGTTCACCACCACGATAAGCCCTTGAAAGAAGGGTAGAAGAGGCGTCTCTGAGTCTAGTAACTATGCTATGGCAACAGTGCTTTTAGTGATATCACTACTCGGATAGCGAAGAAAAGAAATCTAAGATAGTATGGTATGCACTAGTATTAACAGGATGCTTGGCACTTTGAAGCCAGTGAACAGTCGGCCAAAATGCAGGAGGTCATCTGTGAGGTTTTCTCTTGAGACAGTGGATATTTTCGATCATTTGCAAATACTTGAGTGGTGCAGTTTGGGAAAAAAAAGAACGGGCAGCATCGGTCATTTCCGACACTTTCTACAGTTGACCTTTACGCAAACCGTTCGTAGATCCTTGCTTTCCAATGGTTATTGGAGAATGATGAACAGAGAATGTGTAGATTTCGGAATCGGTCTTTGGTTTGTTCGCCCAGTTAGACAAACTAATTGCAAGTGACATGATATGACGTCATCAATGTGTTTTTAATGAGCGGTGCGTCAATGGCTGGGTAGTTTAGAGCCATAGAGCCAATTTGGACTGGCTTAGTTATGGTTGCACGACCGGACAAGTTCGGTCCGGCTGTTAAGCACAGTTTGTAAATATGTGCTTCCCCTTTAAATGGTAGGTGCAAGAGAGAGGGGCCAGAGTAGAATTCGTTTCAAAAGGTCCTCTTTCTTGTACGCTTCATTGAAAGTACAAATATTTCTTGTCCTATAGAGTAGTATTTTTACCAATCTGGGCTTATAAACCAGTGGTTTAAAAATTCAAAAAAATTGATTCACCGACCACTCCAGGTAGTTTCATGGTGGAGAGCGCGGGCTAGATGACATAATTTAGTTGGTTAGTGGATTGCAATTACGGTGGTATTTACATCAACAGGACAGACTACCGCCTTCTTCGAAGAATTACTGCACACCTGCCAGATTATCTGGTACGTGAGATAGTAGTCAGCTATTGGCCAGCCTACAACCTAAAAACCAACATCTTTGATTGCAATACGCGTCCACCTGGTGCTCCTAAATCGTTCCACGATCATTCGTTGTTGTGATGTGCAATCAAACACCCCGGATACTAGCAATAATGCATTAGTTGAGACGAGTGGTGTGTGTGTGTGTGTGCACGTAAGTCATTGTCTCAAAACACCAGTCTACTTGGGGCTAATCTCCGATTAACCCTCGTATTCTCTGAACGTTTCTTTTACTGGTTGCTGCCATGCAGTGTGTGTGCCTACAAGTGTGTGTTTTACGTGGACTACTGATAGAAGTAAAATCAAACATGAGTTCTCACGAAAGTGGGTTAAGGGGACTTGGTGTACCAATGATTCTGAGACGCGTTTTTGTTCAACGCTTCATCATAATACACTCCAGCGTGGAATTTAATCCATCGAACAACGAAATTCAGTCACGCATGCTCAGGGAAGTTTCATCGCTTCATCTTGCACCTTAAGATGGTCTCCGTACCTTGCGTCTGTCCAAATGGACTGGAAGCATGAAGCAACTGCTCGATGATCTACTCACACGGTACTTCTGCACTCTCGCGGCTGGTGAGGTCTTTTAGTAGATTTCTTTGCAAATAAGAATAAATGATATAACGATTCCATGTTGACAAATGCTCCTAAACCTTTGACGGAAGCAATAAAACCAGGGCTGGTTTCGAAACATGGACATTCCGATCAGTAGTATCACCCTTAGCCGTTCAGCTATCCACTCTAACTGCCATTAAGTATTGGTTACAGCGACAGATACCGTCTATGTTTTCCTAACGCACTTGTGATCCCTCGTCTGCGTGACCTTACAACGTGCAGGTCAGAACACGCGTATCAGAAACAAGGTTTCCGGTCTGTCTGGCGTCCTCATAGCCGGCAAGAGTTTACCTATTTGACACACGTGCGCGTCCCACAGTAGGAACAGGCCTTCTTAGTCATTTTTAGGCGCATGACCTAATATTCCTCATACTTTCCTCACATTTGGAAGGTGAATAAGGCTCAGCAGTTTGGAAGCTGAATAAGGCTCAGCAGTTGAGTGATACAATTGAGGCCAAGCTAGAGCGAGGGCGCGTGATAAACCCGGCTCGTTTGAATATTGCTCTTTCAAGTGATAGCTTAGCAAAAGATTTTGACCTAGGAGCAGCACTCAAACCTAAATGGGACCTCCAAGTTGGACAGTGAGCTCAACGCAGCTGGCTGCTGTTATCAGATGAACAGCACTCACCACCCACTGATGACTGACCTGTACGAAACTCGCGGTAAAGGATCGGTTTGGTATAAACTCACCCAAATGGTTGAGACGATCCTGCCGCGTACGCTACCAACGAAATCTTGTTAAATTGAAAGTCTGAAAAGCGAAGCATATGGCTCCATGTACCAGAGAGTAACTCTTACATTAATCTGTTCAAACAATGAGAAACTAGTACTTCTGAGAGGTTGTGTTTGCTATTTAGATGGAGGGACACGTACTTTTTGGATCCATTTGTCACTTATAGTGGGCTCAAAGGGTGTTTTTGTAACCAGGAAGCTCTCACAGAAGAATCACGGGAAAGCGCGAGTGCCAGGAGTGTGGCAACTATATATACGAATGTGTGAACACTTCCGAAGCATGCATGGTGAGTACCTGACCGTTCGTCGAGGATCAATTCCCATGAACGCATGCAAGAAAACGCAGTCTGGTAGGATTACTTTGGACATAGATGACAATCGAAATTTGTAGTTTATCTTTTGTATGTATCTTGGTGAACCACAGCGGAAATCGACTGGACAACATACATTCCTAACGAAACACAGCATGTTTTCATAAAGGAAACTACTCACAAGGTTGCTGAAAACTCTTCGACAGCCCACGATCGGTTTCGCCCTACTTGGGGCTCATCAAGTATGCGCAGTCCCCGAGTTTCCGTCAACTTGGTGCACTATTAGCTGAAGCTAGGGGACTGCGCCTACTTGATGAGCCCCCAGAAGGGCGAAACTGGTCGTGAGCTGTCGAAGAGTTTTCAGCAACCTTGTGAGTAGTTTCCTTTATGAAAACATGCTGCGATATCTCGAATATCGTGCCAACTGAATCATGAGGCGGCCTGTGTGCAGCACATTCTCAGTTGTAGAATATCATAAACGGGAGATTCAGTCGGTCTCTCGTGAAAACCAAATTGATTTGCAAATTAGTGTATTTCTCGAGAACACAGTATGTGTTTCGTCATCCGCAAATTTACATCTGAAAGCACCCAAGTGCTTGAGTGACAGTTTCGGGGTTTGGGTTCAAGAAATTTAAAGCAACGACAAGTTGATCCACTTCATCGGCGCCATGAAAAGGCACAGTTAATCGGACATTAACGCTTACTTTCATCGGTCGTCTACGTGAAGCCTACGCTAATCACGTGGCAAAAATTAAAAAAAAAACGCGATGACGATCAGAGAAAGGTAGGGGTATTCGGAGAAGTAGATGAGACTGATGTTTTGAGTCAGACGATTGCACACACAAAACCAGTCGACTTGGATTAATCAGCATATTCAACTGAGATTTCGTTGTGCAACTGAAATCGATTTGTACTGAAAAGCCGAGGGGTGATGTACAGCTGTTTCATCCTCATCGGGAATCGCTTATCAGCAACGCCCATATCACTTAACTTCAGGGGGTTTCGGACTGCGGCCTTTCGGGCTACTATTGTGGACACCCAACCATCCCACCACAAGCAGGTGAACAGTATTGTGCTTAACTCCCATTTAGACAGGATATAGCGTCATTCATCCTTTAATTACGGCAGTCACATCACGTGTTGACTGGCTCCTAGAGTGAGGAATTGTCATATAGAAGTTTCACTCATCTGTTCAGTCTACCAACCGGGAGGTCGCGGGCTCCGTGAGACGCGCGCACTGCTGACGATTCCCAATAAGGATGAGACAGCTATACAGTGCTCCTCGACTCTTCAGCATTGATCGACTTTACCTACGGGAGAGACGTCTCATCTGAAAATTACCTAATCTCTTCGTACTGACATTAATCACCCTTACCGAATGTTAGCATACGGGGTGTTTGACTACTCTTCACAACAGCGGATGTTTGTCTAGGACCAACGGAACGAAGTGAAACAAGCAGATAGCAGTCTTGCAATCGACGATGTTGGGTTCCGGGTTGTAGACCCTGAAGCAACCTGAACTGGTCAGTAAATCCAGCGCCATTGACTGGACCCTTACTAATCTCAGATTATCCCTCATTCCCTCTGAATGTCTTCAAAAATGTAACTGCTATGTAGTAGACCTATAAACGTATGTTTCACGTGGAAGAACAATGTTAACATTTCCCGATCGTTTTTATTACTGACTGATGTGAGGTTACGAATGTTAGGAGCTGTAGTAATTCAGTCCAAAAAACTTTCTAGCATGAATCGACCCCTGTGGTCATGACCGGAGGTCTTAATGGATCGGCCAAGGGGAGGCCAGCCAACCTACGAAATCCCAGTGATAGCAGAATCAAGGAAGCAGGTCAAATAGGATGCTTGTGGAGGAGCTTCCCCTTCCCTGCTCCAATGGGGCGTGACTGTGAAAATCTCTTTTATCAGAGTAATAAACGAAGGCATCCAGGAGGCGTGCCGAAACGTGGGATCCTGGAAAAGCCCCCATTCAGGATTGGAACAACTAAGTTTACACGCGCTAAGCAAGGGGGTGATATCATGGACAGTCACTTAAACAGAGATAGGTGTTTACGGCGTGTGCTGGATGTTCTCCCTTTCAAGCGTCAAATGAGCCAGTTGTGGCAAATGGATGGGGTCGAGATGGCCCAAGTGGTTAGAGCGCGAATTTACTGACCGGAAGGTCCGTGGTTCGTTCCCGACCTCTGCCTCTCGACTTCCCTGTCTAGGCTTGGGTAACCTGACAGTATCCCAGCCCTCGTGCCTCCTTTGGGTGGCATGGCAGCTAGGCACCGGAGGGGTGCTACAGCTGAACGAGACATATTCAGTAGGATTGTTGGATGATATGGTTTCAACGGCCTACAACAGAATGAGCAAAGAATTGACATTCAATCGATCCACGCCTGCAATGCTCGACTAAAAGGGTGCGGTCGAGCACGTGGCACCAGTCCTCTAGGTACATTTTATTTAAGACGCGTCCCATTACCGAACCGAGTAGATGAAACCCGAAAAGGACACCTCGTATGCAGTGTCTGAGTTTTTCGAAACAAATTTCGCAAGGATCACGCGGAATAAGTGACAAACTACCCATCCATTTTATTCGCTTCAGTCCTGAAGGATATTGGACTTTGATACACACTGTCCGCTCATCCTTGGAAGATATGCTAAACTGAGCCTAACAACAAACTCAAGATGGTCTTTCCAGTCATTTTACGGTCAGAGACTATTCCTAATATATGAAAACAGATAGCGATCCAACACAACCCGTGTCTGGTCTCTGAAAGTATTCAGCGTAAGTCGCCATGAACACTCATATTTCAGGGAAAACACATATCGATGGGACAGATGTCTCCGAATTAGCAGCTATTCGACGAGCCTGAATATATTGAAGTACGTCTAGAAGAGTGACTAATATCCTGTCTTCAGATCATCCACTGATACGTAACCAAGCCACCAGTACCAGTCCAGATAGCTATAAGGGACAATGATTCCGAATAGAGATGCGTGATTCAAATCCAGCCCTTGCTTTTTGACTGCGTTTTTTCTGCCTTGGAAAATCTGTTGGTACTTCAACCCGCATGTAATTTGTGGGGTTTTATCGTCAAGGTTCCTATAAAAGACGTCATAACAAAATACTTCACAGTTGTACCCGATTGCCGACCGGCGTCGGAAGGGCGTGATAAATTATACGGCTCTGAGCTTCTGCATTCATCCCACCCTCACTTCAGACACCTGATCGGCCAAGTCCAGTTTAGCTCCCATTTTCAGCGGCCCTCAATGCATTAATTACTGGAAAGCAGGCCTGTGTGAAAGTTGACTGTGGCTAAATTAGAATCTTGGCTTAGTTTGTCTCAAGACTACACAAGCCTCCCACTACTAAGTGGGCTAGACTTTTCAGCCAATTACTAGAAAGTAGGAGCTCTAGTACAACTCTACCACTGTAGTCTCGAAAGTCCAAATCGTAGAACAAAACACTTGCTGTGTTGAAGATCCAGGATGGGAAGCCCTGAGGAACCTCGCTTCTTTGGCCCAGACAGCTGAGAAGTATCGATCGCCCTTACGGCATTTTATCGTGGATCCAACCCCCATCACAATGTGAGCGGTTGATTCCCAACATCTGTCCTATTTCCGACCCAACGACAACGAATCAATCTTTTCTGTCTATCAGCTTTGGAGCAAAATTTGAGATAATCTCAAGTGAACTAAACCTCAGTCATGACACAGAGTGACGTTCACTCAAGTGGTTGTCTCTGTCCATGTCTGAAAACAGCAATCGGAAAGTTCCACCCACGGGAACACGACCTTGGGTTAATTATGTTCGACCTCAGTCAATAAGAACACAGATGAAGTAAAACGTGATGCGGAGAAGAGTAATATCTGGAAAAGTCAAAATCAATGTAAAACATTTCAGGAAAATGACACCACATCATCATCAACTCCCCATTTCAAGTCAGCAGAAAAGTGGAACAGAGCAGAGTTTGTTGAATAGACATAACGTGCCGGAGAAAAAAAAGAGGATGAGCATCGGTTATATCGATAGATGAAAACGTCAGTCGCACATCAAAGGGAGCTAATCACAGTCAAGTGCGGGTGGTGCACGTCTGAGGCCTGGGTGGGACGGCAGCGCCATATCAAGGCAGAATATGGAAGTGGATTGCAGATTCCAACCGAACTAGCTTCGCAGGGAGACACCAAGAGCAGTCGCAATGATAATGAGGATGATGACGACGACGATAATACAAATGCATTTTTTGCGTCGAATGGACTTTCTGTGTTTAGTGGCCGTGTCCAACTGTCGTGTACCGGCTTCCACCTGAAATAGGAAGACACAAGGTAAACTAAGAGTAGTTCTTACCGATTTTGCGGAATACAGACACTGAAGATGTCACATCGACTGATGATGAAACGATTGCAGTCCAACTGCTCGGCGAACAGACCAACAATCAAAGAGATTTTGCCGACAGATGGTAAGTGCAGGCAAACACATGGAAAAAAAGGTCTAGAGAGATTAGTTTGACTATCTAGAGGCTAGGATGGTAGTGGAAAATACAACGTATTGTGAACAACGCATCCATGGGAAACCTAAAACAAGGTGCTGCCATGCCACTTTACAGGACATGCTAGAAGGTGGAAAGCAGCATTCTCGAACAAATGTCAAGTGATGGTGGAGACGGTACTTATTTCAAACCCTTGGGAAACTCTCCGGATTAACCATTCTTGAGGGGTAGGGAGGGTTAGGTACAATACCACACCATTCATGGGTGAGCGACATGGAGAGGGAAAGCCTGACAACTTGGGGTATATGATAATAAAAAATGACGCCTTATGACCCATTTCTAGCGTGTCACTAACAAGTGGAATGAGTTGAGCATAAGACTGCCACAGACAAGCAGCACAGAACTTTGTTTTCCAAGTATTTCTCTCCTCTTCATAAAGGAAACTACTCACAAGGTTGCTAAAAGCTCACGACCAGTTTCGCTCTCCTTGGGGCTCATCAGGTAGGTGCGATCCCGGAGTTTCCGTCAACCTGTCGCACTATTTGATGACACTTCCAGGTAAACCTTGATTTAGTTTTGTTTTCTCGGTAATTAGATTTCGTCCTTCAGGTGGAGTCAGTGGATGCTGAACAGCCGAGGAACAGTGCAGTTGGTTTTCTCTTACCGGGAATCACCAGCAGTGTGCAACACACTAATCTCCGGGGCGACGAGGAGCATCATACCCCACCGGATGGTGGCTTTAGGTTTGCAGTTTGGGTTAAAGGTGTCAAAGTTTCGAAAGGAAACGACCGTGTATCGAAAACGCACGCACCCAACAGCCCACTGAAGGTGTCACCTCGTATGGTGACGAAACACGTGCAGACTAGTTGCTAAGCTCGGTGAACTGGCCGACTGCCACCTGATCAGCAACCACTAAGACTGAAAGCCATAAACGAGATATGCAGTTGGGTTCCAGGCGAGTCACCCGTCAAAACCGAATTCGTATGCAAATGAGTAATTCGCTTGTTTCGTACAATTTAGTTTCAAGTACAACACGAGGTTGACGGAAATTCGGGGACTGCGTCTACCCGCTGAGCCCCAAAAAGTGCGAAACTGGTCTTAGGCGGTCGAAGAGTTTTCAGCAACCTTGTGAGTAGTTTCCTTCATGAAAATATACTGCAACATCTCAAGTATCGTACCTACTGAATCATGAGGCATCCTGTGTGCAGCACATCAGTTGAAGATTACCATAAACGAGAGATTCAGTTGAGCCTCCCGTAAAAAACCAAATTGATTTGCAAATGAGTGTATTTGTCGGAAAAATACTGTCTTTGATCCCCTGGTATCAAACACGCTAGCTTGTAATCGGTAGCATGAACGACGAATAGCCAATAAAGCTGAAGGATACTTGTGTGAAACAATACTTTAAAAAGTTGAGCAGTACATAGCGGTTTTCGACCAAGTTTCATTTTGCAAATGGTGGGCTCTATCGTGAAGTTACCCTCGAGTATCCGCCGATTGTTTACTGCAAGCTAATACCTTCGCCGTTCACTTGAATTGTCACATGACATGCTAAGACGTGGGTCATTCAGCCAAGCGACAATCACGCAGCGTCTACTTGAGACTGAGGATGAAGCTTTCAACGGATTTGGCGCCTTAAGTTTCGAAATAATCATGAAGAATGCACGACATTCCGGTGGAACTGTTTCAAACTGGTATAATTTCGTGACATCTACCACCGCCTACTGTCTGGCAGATATCAAACCACGTGAGAATAATCAAGTGACATGGAACAGATATAAGGGGAAGAGCGAAACGGAGGTTACGAATATAAAAGGTGGGCCTAAGCTCGGCCAAGAAGCTACGAAAGACTATGTTCAATGTTCCAAAAGTAAAAATGGAGGTGGAGGTGGACACTTTGGGAGGTTAGAGATGGGGTGGGGTGTGTGCTGTCCAGGACCTTTGCTATGGTACGGTTAATGTTACAATCACCCACCTGTGAACACCTGGGTCCGAATGAGGTCGCTTAATCGCCACGTCTGCCCAAGGAAGGAAAGTAGGTTTTTTCTGGTGTCCTAGTGCAGTCAGTGTTCAGAAGATAGTGGTGGGAAACTCGGGGACTGTGCCTAGCTGCTGAGCCCCAAGAAAGGCGAAACCGGTCGTGGGCTGCTGAAGAGTTTTCAGCAGCCTTGTGAGTAGTTTCCTCTATGGTCGTTGGTTCTTTGTCAGCCGTCGTACGAAGCTATAGTGCTGAATGTTTCGATGAACGTATGGACAGCTGCCTTTCTGTCGAACTACATACGTGTTTCCACACATGCACTCAGGTGGTCAAAATAGACGGACTGACTGTTACTGACAGAATGGGAATTCTTGTTTTATATTGGCCTACCGGATGAAATGTCTGAACAAACATCTCGTATCACGCGGATCAACACGTAGTGGGGATCGGGAAAAAGATTATGTTATGACTAACTTTCATATCCGGTCATAACTTGGAACTCCTCACTACACCAGTCCAGTGCAGGTGGGAATATATCCCCAAACGTCCACTCTAGTTACCTTCTCCTAGCTGGTTCATACCCAACGATCTTATGCCCATTACTACAGATCAAACTTTAGTCACTTGACCTAAACCTGGAAGGATCGATGAACCGGTCAAACAATATGTAACCCTAACCGGAACTGTACGGCAGTGAAGCATCGGTGTTGAACACTGATGTCATGCTGTCGATGATGATGAACCGGAACCTCAATGTGTCTATCAAAGGAGGGCTTAATCTCACCACGGACTGGAAAGAACCGTATCCCAGACATTGATTCCAGAAAGAAAAGAGGACATGCACCAACCGAATCAGAAAGTGGCCGTCCTTGTTTCTACTCGAGTATCAGAACCGGCATGCCAAAAAGCACCTACTGATTTGTTTTTATAGTTGCAATAAAGCCGAGGTATGATTATCATGATGATATATTACCACATATAGAGCCATCAACATGCGGCTCTTTGCACAACTATGGGATGAGGTGCAGTTATGGAAACGCCAAATAACACAAACATATTACTTGCTGGAAGATATGCCTGCTATTTAGTAATTTCAGTCCCCCTTCGGGAATTTTATCGAATTACTTTAAGTGAATTTGGAAATCAATCCAATTGAAGATTCCAATTAACCAGAGATTGGACAGTTGAATCTCCTGCTGACCCCAAAAAAGTATTCGAGAAAAAAAAAGGCACACAGCTCCAGTAACGTACGAATTGGTGTTCAAGTGAAGGGAAACTAGGGAACGAAGCCTACCAAATGAGCCCCTAGGAGAGTAATGGGCTGCCGAAGAGTCTTTAGCAACTTTATGAATGATTTGTTCCGTCAAGAAAATATACTGCGATATTTGGAATATCGCGCCTCTTGCACAGGTCACAAACAAGTTAGTTAACACCAGTACAATTTGTTAATGAGTGTTTACGTGGAAACTAGGGGACTACGTCTACCTGACAATCGTCCCGAATGAAGCGACGAAGTAGAAAAGTTTTCGTCAGCTTCACAGGTTATGTATGTCGTGCTAGAAGAGATTCAACCCAACCTGCCTTGGAGGACCATCAGTTAGGGAAGAGCTCGGTAAACAAATGAAGAGAGATCACAGGTAAAGATGTCCGTATTGACGTGTGTCGGTTTCGTTACATTCTATTTGCTTCCTCGGATTAGGCTAATTAATCCAACGTAAAATTCCAAAAGCTTAGGTTGGGCACCGGATGCTTTCGTCATCGACCAGTAACCAAGATAATTTTAGTGTTTTTCGCATCTTTACGAAACGAGTCGGATGTTAGATTCATTGCATTCCATGCAGGAGCCTTCGAGCGTCTGCATGAAACGGAAGTGACTGGGGAGTTCGATACATATCTGGACAACGCACTGGAATTTGTATCCGGTATTTCTATTTGGTTGGATGCTATTACAAAGGCCAGGGTTTGAAAACCTCCTCTTGCAATTTTATCTGAAACGAGGATTTCTGCTCTGGTGTAGATTGTACTCTCATTCTGACAGACTACTAATTTCGCAAATCTGCTCGTTTAGAAAAGCGAAATTCCTATTCGTTTGGAAAGTCCAGACTGAGTGTAACCCAAGCTTATTCATTTTGTGAGGAGTCTCCTCACTTGTCTGCGGTTGTTTTTTCCTGATATACAGCACTTTTGCACGCTACCCCACCACCCCTACCATCGATCGTCCGTCCGTGAACCGGTGATTCCAGGCCTGATCGATAACGTATGCTGCTACAGTACCGTATGAATTAAGTTTTGACCCATCTGAAATGCCTTAGATAATTGAGGAAGAAGATTTACGTCACGGTGAAGTTGGTTATATGTGATCATGATAATTACCACGGAAACATCGATTGTGCCAAGAGAACCACCTGGTCCATAATGTGAACACAATAATAGTCAAGTGACCGCATACTATCTCCCATTCGGTACTTTCCATCCGTGTGTGAACATAATCGTGCTGCGTTGAGTTTAATACGGTGTGTTATGTGACTTTGGACTTGTCTGGTAAAGTGGTCCAGTAGAATAGTCTGGTCAACTCACATCACGTGAACTGAAGGTACCAGATTCAAGAGAAAGAGTTTAGAGCGGTGTTGTGATCAGACTGGTGCTTCTGTGAAGAAGCGTACGGTAGCATGGAGTGTGAACTATGAAGGTAGATCGTTGATCCCAAGAGAACAGTCCAAACGACAACAAGATCATCATCCGAAAGGAATTTTTAAGGTTAGTTGTAGGTAACTCAGGGAACTGCAGAAGTTGCACCCATATCACTCTCATTTGCATAGCCCTCCACCTGTCTTGGTGCGATTATCAATAGTGTCTTTCGTGAACCTACTTCATGCATGTTTTGGAGTACGCCTCAGATGGTAAGTGAGGGATCATACAGGGGCGTGGTCCCCACGTATGACGGACAAACTTGCAGTTCAATTAGAAGGATATTACGCCAAAAGGTCCGACCAAACAACATTGAGGATCTGAACACATATTCTAAAGTTCCCGAATGATATCGATTTGAATGAATACACGCAAAACGGGAGGGGCGGGAATTCCGTTAACGCTTGGTCGGGTGACACACGGAACTAACATCGTGACCATAGAACAGGAATTCGAGTGCTCCCCAGAACAAGTACTATATGTGTTGCTATATATATATATATATAGCATAGCAGTATATATATATATATGTATATATATATATACTGCTATGCCATCCGAAAGAAGCACAAGAGCTGAGATACTGTCATTATGCCCACGCCTAGATAGGAGAAGTTAGGATGCTGAGGTTGAGTTCGAACCACCAACCTTCCGGTCAGTAAGTTGGAGCCTTGACCACTGAGCTATCTCGAGCCGAGTATGTCCATTTTTCCGAGATTACCACTGGTGCTAACCTATTTGCCATGATCGACGGAGCAGTTAGCCAAAGTCCACTGCTCTAGCCAAGCGAATGTTTGGGCTACACACAAAAATTGAGCATGAGAAAAGTGGAGACACCGTTTAGTAGGTGTAGCAGAACTGTACGGCACTCGGCCAAAGGCATTCGGTTGGTACTTGGGAAATAAAACGTTTCACCAAACAATGCACACAGTGGAAATCGGTCCAACTAAGATTCTGGCCATGCACTTCCGCAGTTGAAGTTCCGCATTGGATAACCTCAACGCAAATATTATTTGCTGCCATATGGCAATTAAAAATCGTTCAGCTGTAAATCTCTTTCGGTGCCAAGCTGCCAAGTCACCAGAAGGAAGCACAAGGGCCGGGATACTGCCAGGTTGCCCAAGCCTAGACAGGGGAATTCAAGAGGAAGAATTCAAGTTCGAACCACGGACCTTCCGGTCAGTAAATTCGCGTTCCAACTACTGAGCCATCTAGCCCAATTAGGAGTTGGAAATTTCGAACTGTTTATTAGTCAGCATCGACAGCTGTACACATGTGTGTATGAGGAGGGAGGGGTGACTACTAGTCTTGGAAAGCAGTGTCGTGAACTACTGTGAGCAAGATGATGACGAGTTGCATATCACAGTCCTGCCACGTCTGTCCCCCAGATATATTGGTCGCAGCCACTCACCCTTCAAACATATCTCTTAATTGATGATTTTTTTTAAAAAAATGGAGAACCCAAAGCTACTCACGACAGAACACCTGTACTGGCATTTGAAGTGACCCTGGAACGTGGGTTACATTCCTGTGGCGGCTTGTCAACCGCAAACACAACGTGTCTTTTATATGCATCTACGAGCTCTGACGGTCAATATTATTTGAAAATGACAGTGAAGATTCTTCCGCCTCATCTAGAAGTACAGCGGTCGGTACACTTTGAGCTTGGAATGATTGATATGTATGGACTGCTCGGGGACCACATACGAAGTCCTGTGTACATTCTCAACAGGGCTGCACAGCCCCTTCCGAAATCTCAGCGATATACGTTGGTGACCAGACCAACCCAAATGCCGGGAGCGTTAAATATGAAACCTACGCCCCACTGCGCTTTCGTAATACGCACACGTAGAGTATGAAAACGGCCATTGGCGGGTTGTTATAGTACACAAGTGCAAAGAAACAGCTGAGAACGGAAAGGTGTTAGGCTAGGTTCAAAACTTGGAAACTACATTCAAACTCCATTCAAAAGGACTTGTAATATGGTAGAAATTCGAGCCACGACTTGATAGGATTACATGCAAAGAATTACGGACCTCACCTTCTCATATGCGACTTCAATATTGTCCCCGATAGAATCAACCAATGTGCCTTGTTCATGCACATAGGTGGCCAATGTGGTGAACAGCTCATTCACCTGGACAATATCTGACTCCAGTTGCTCCATCTCCCTTGCTCTCTGATCATCGATTTCGCTCTGAATCGAAGCAATCTGGTCTTGTCGTTGGAGCTGCTGAGGTTTCTCTAGAAAGTGAATAGGAGATTGGGAGTTTCAAACGTTAGTAACTGGCAAACGGTGTACAACTGAAAGGATGACGCCACCGGCAGGCTTCAATATACCAAAATATGCCCACAGAGCATTGGCAAAAGAGAGACGTAGGGTAAAGGCATCTTTTTGGCAAAATCATCCTCGGGCTTGTACGTTTACATACTACATAGCGTAGAACAGGATAAGATAACAATGGTAAAAAGATGATCGGATTCACATGAATATAATCAACGAATAATCAACCAGCAGACTACGCACCACAATGACTGATCTTTCACCAGAGCCTACTGGTGAAAGGAGAAAATCCCTAGGCCGCAGAGTTGTTTATTAAAAAACACCAACCAAACAGTTACAGACAGGAAAGTCAGACTCTCATATGCACCTAGTTTCTAAAAACGGAATATCCGTCTTCTTCTTGAACTTTTTCTGGATATTCATCGACCGTCACGAAATTGTAGACGAATGCTACGAAGCAGTTCCACGAATTCCTTCTATTAGAGTAAGGCGGAGTTACGAGAAGACCACATACTACTCGCATGCCCAATCAGTAGCAAAAACCGTTACACTGGTAGTCGAAATGCTATCAGCTAGACTCGTATCCAACTTCCTGGGTTTGGCCAAGATAGCCTGAGCTTCCGTACGAACTGTTTTTTGTTTGCACAAAACCGGGCGAATTGCAATGGGTTTATCTGTTGCAGGTTCGTAAGCAAAGGCCTTCAGAGCATTAAAAACCAAGTTTGAACTAATCCAGAGGTTAAGCAGTGAGGCTGCAATGCGGTGTCCGTGTTGTTATGAGCATTAGAAAGCCTTAGACCATGCTCTAAAAAAACTTTCAAGGTTTAGCCAGTGACGTCTTCGGAACAAAGCCTCAATCTGGTTGGAACGTCGGATGAGTACTGCTAAAATTCGAAAAATATAGATTAGTCAAGCGACAGATGAGCAATTATTACTCCATGGGTTGTATTAGCTCGCAATGTCATTAAACTGACTACTTCTTTGCGCAACCATGCACAGAGTGAAAGCGGCATGGGGAAGTCAGATAATGACCTGGTAGCAAAGCATGATATCTGTAACCTGCAAACTCCGCTGTGATAGAGGACGCCGGGATGACACAAACGGTTGGGCAATACCTACCATCACTTTTTATCCATCTCAAATCACCGTCCTTTCCGGAATCGGACGAGATGGAGATACGATTCATACGTTTTGCGTGGTTTCCACCTGATCATGGAGATGATAATCAAGGGGTGAGCTATTGTCTGATTCAATATTTAGGTTTTTGTTGCTCTTCCCTAAGGTTCGGAAATCCGGCAGTACCCGAGCTTAGTTCAGGTTTCATGGCAGCTTGACATCGCAAAAGCTTCGCAGCTGACTGATTCGATTCGTCCAAGATCAAGAATGATTATTCAAGTGTGACTAGACGGTCCGCATCTTGCCACAGCCAGTTGAATTGGTGCTAATAGGTGAACCCGTGGACCGGCATAAAAAATCTAAGACACCAAATCACCGGGATCGGAGCTCGCAAATCATGTGCTGGCTGTAGCATCAAAGTGTGAGCCTGACACTATTCACCACTTTCTTCCTACATTGCTTGTGTCAAAAATGGACAGTTGGATTGGCTTTCCCACAACCGTAATTGGACTTTTGGTGGGAGGGATTGTTGCAACCCCCCTCTGACTCCTCGTGTTTGCAATTCCATTGTGTTCTACTTGTCGGCCACAGTCAGCGTCATCATTTGCTGCGCATATTACAACTTGTATTACCGCTTGGGAGATCATTCGACGCATTGCTGTCGATTGACGAGTCACCACCAGAGTACTAATGGATTTGAGGTCGATGAGGTCTTGATTCGACTCGAACTAATTTTCTACTCGCTACGCACTACCGGTGGGGTTTCAATTACGCTTCGGAGGTATCATGAACTAGTGCCGTTAGTGATCAACAAAGTTGAGCAAGCTGGTCCACATCCTCTTGAAGGTTAAATCAAGTAGCAACCGTCAAACTTAGTCACCTGCACTGAGTTACCCCCACGCTATTCCCGAAGAGGCTTTCTTTCTTCCGCTGGGGAACTTCTGAACAGCTGTGATGCATCTCCCGAAACTGACGGCCGGAGTGCCTCTAAATTAAATGTTAATAAGGATGTAGACAGCTTCGAAAAGTGAGTTAAAGGGCTTCCACTGCATAATTGCTGTGTTTCAGCCGGTCCAACTTAGAAGCACTGGGTGTTTGGACCATGAGAACATCGAGTTCTGAAAATCACGACCCCCGGGGCTCTATATGGACCACCGTGCTGATTATGAAGATGAGATAGTTGTCATGTATTAAGTCTATACCTTTTGGATTTCAAATAACACGTACTGCGGTCCCAAATTTCGCTTTTAACTGATCCCATTTGGCGGATGGGTACACTAATGAAATCAAAGCCTAAAAGTATGTCAGAGTTGAATCTTCTGTTCCACTCTACTTACACAAAGGTGAACAAAGCCGGCAAATCGGACTCGTTGCGTCCTCCGAATGTCATGGAGGTACGTGGACGAAACATGGGAAATCGCAATTGAAATAAGCTACTGTGGTTATAGTGCAGTGTTACGATAGCTGAGAAAGCTCTGGGGACAGCTGTTTCCATTCGCGGGGGAGATTTTCAACTGACGGCCGGTAGAACACTGCGACCAGTTCAGAGGCCTACAGGTGTTTGTTCGGATTTACCCTACGCGTCAGGATGAACCGGCTATCTTGAGTCTCGCTCTACTATCGTAACGTAAGCCTGGGGTTGGATCTGGTCGTTAGTTGGGCAATTTGATTTTAAACGTTTCATCACCAATAGAGGTGACATCTTTAGTGCGTTGTTAGGGGGCGTAGTGTGGAATCGGTGGTTGTGTTAAGTGGTGCTGCGTGTGGGTTACTGTACATGCTACTAGCCGGGGCTGGCCTTCGATCACGATTGGTTCTTCGGTAGGGTAGTTCTACTGTTATCCTGTATGTTGGGCTTGGCCTCCCCTGTTTTCGTAATGTGTGCGTGTCAATTGATGCTACCAGTCTGCAGTGTGCATCACTGCGTACCAGTGAAGTGTGAAAGCGACCCATTATGCATATGAACATTCCCAACTGTTACTAACTCGCGTCGTTCAAGACCACATCCAGTAACACCCAGATGTACAAGTCCTGTGACCAGTGCGTGGCATAGAGGATTGATAGGTTATGCAACTTCACTCTTCAAAACAAACTGGATGCGCTTGCCACGGGAACTCGATAAGCCAGATAGTTTCCCGACGAGCAACCACAAACTGCCGAAGCCGTTTTGGTCCAGAAGCGATTAAAATCAAGCCGTAGGGGGAGTTAATATAGCCCCTGGGAAAAAGCGGACGGAGCTACCTCTCCGCAGACAACTCAGCTAACGAACGAAAGGGAGGGCAGATCAAACCGTAGGTTCACCCGAGCGGACAAATTGCAAGCAGGCCACTGCGTAAACATCCAACAGATGTTCAAAAGGGCATATGTAAAAAATGAATCAAGGCAGTGGCGCACGCGTATGATTGTAACACCAAATGGCGCGATGCAATCGTTAAGGAAACGACGGATTTGGAGACGTTGCAAATGGGATCTTACGTTCAACATAACTTGTCTTACGTCCATCCAAAAGGTAGTCTGTAGTGGGAAGGTAATCGGAATAAGATCTTAGCAGTAGAAAAGATGATCACCTGAAACCGAAGGCGATTACTCTCACTAAAAAGTGAGACAGTGATCAATAAAGACAAACCAACCACTTTGATGGGGTGCAACAAGAGCAATCCACGGATGAGGAAACAAGAAGCGTTAACGGTGACGAATGATACGAAATAATTTGCAAACCAGGGAAGATGAAAATGAGGGAAAACGAGTAACAAGGTCATAATGGGCCTTACCGCTGGCAGTGAAGTCGACAAGTGGAGATGCGTGTTTATCTTGAAAATCTGGGGGACCCACTGAGGACACTTGACGAGCATGGCTTTGTACGCGCATCCCAAGATTCTGTAGTCGCCTTAGTTGGGCCATAGCCTGACTGTTCAAGTTGTGGGCTCTGGCCCGCAGGTCTGGATCTTGGGCACCGACATCGATGGTTCTGGAAAGGAGTAAGAGCGGAAGAATGGGATCGATAGTTCAGACGCTATTTGCTTCTGTCCACGGTAAGTGTCAGGCGAGGTTAAACAGCAAGATGACTGGCAAGCACTATTTATTTATGTTATGTAATCACTAATTATTTGTGTGACAAGACTGGTGCATAGTAAATGGGGAAGGTTGGGCGAGAACCACTGAAACAGAAATTCATGAGTTATGGATGAGGGTGATCTGTCTGACTTCATGGTCGCCGTGAT